TCATGTCGAGTTTGGTCGCCGATGTTTTTATCGGCGATCTGGCCGGTTTTTGACGTACGATATTCAAATCTTGTCGGCGACTAGGTTGTAACTGTAAAGGCCGACATAAGCGGGCCTTTAAGTGACTGAGTGAGTGTCGGCGTAAGACTATAAAGAGGGCGACTTACCAACTTTGTACTGGTCCGCATACTGTCTGTTTGCGTTCGTCTGGTGTCCAGGGTGTTCGTATCGGCAGCTGGAGCCGAACTTACAACTTCCTCTCATGAAGAACTGACAAATTCCCATGCTGACCGGCTGGCTTTATCCTTAAAAGTTACGCATTTTCACACGTCAAGTTAATTTGTTCAGTTTCGTAAAGCGTGTGTGTATTTACCCACAGTGTGGTGACGTCACCGCTGCACGAAATTCGCCAACGCAGCGCCCTCAAGCGACGCCGCCATACCCCGTCTGCATCTACACGCGTGCGCGCACATGTATACACGCGTGCGTGCACATACACGCTTGCGCGCACATGCACGCACATACACGCGATATTGGGCAAATATTAGATCAATGGATTAGGTTTAATTACTCTTAATGTAGTAGATGAGTTCCATAATCAGGATGTGTCAGCCTTTATAAATTAATTAATTCTCCTCTGTCAGTCTGTCTCCCCCTCGTCTTTCACGGCGGTCACCATCGTCAAAGACAGTATAAATTCCACCGCGTACATGTCCGTATATGTACGTACATAGTACATACAGACGTACATATGTCCGTAAATACAGTGTATCGTCACTATCATCATCGTCATCGTTATCGTCTGCGATCCCCCGCGTAGTTTCGCTGACGTCACATCCGCTCTGCGGGCAGAGGGACTTGAGAAATGGCGGGGTACGGATGTACGATGCCGGTGCTCTGGACACTTTTAGTGTTTTTAGCCGTAAATACGGTGCGATCGGAGGTTTTGACGCCTCCTTATTTTAACCTTGCCGAAGGTCGAAGGATCGAATCGACGTCTACGTGTGGAGAGGGCGTACAGGAGAAGGAGTTATACTGTAGATTGACGGGAGCGAACACGGAGGAGGTCGGCGAACGACCAGACAACATTTTACAGGTCAGCTGCTGAGACTTGCTGTCTAACTCTCATTTCTCGTATCGATCGGTTCGTCTATATTTCGGTTAGTTAACCAAGACAGCTAGTAGTAGTTAACAAGCAGCTCTATCCTATAGCCCTATAGTTCTAGAGCTAGTTAACAAGGTATATATGCGTTATTACAGACAATGTACGCGCGCGAAGAACGAATTCGAACGAACGAACGAACGATTAAACGAATGGATGCATGATTGAACGAACGAGCGAACGAATGAATGAACGACCGAACGACTAAACGTCGATAGATAGATTGATTTATTGATGATTGAATGAATGAACGAAGGAACGAAAGAATAATCGAATAAATCATTAAATAAATTGGTGAAATAATAGATCGGTAAATACAGGAATGTGTAGATGTCAGAGTGTGAATGATAGTGTTGTTGTTGCGCAGGGTCAACTGTGTGACTACTGCGACCCGCGGGACGCCAACCGCAAGCACCCGATCACACAGGCTACCGACGGCACGCAGAAATGGTGGCAAAGCCCGCCGCTGTCACGCGGGGCCGAGTTCAACGAAGTCAACATCACCATCGACCTCGGACAGGTAGACCCGTTTGTCTGTTTGTTTGTTTTTATTGATAGAAAATGGGATTCGTTGTCACAGTGCTCTCTCCCGCGCGTGCGCTCCCTTCCTTGCTCCCTCCCTCCCTCGCTTCCTCCCTCCCTCCCTCCTTCCCTCCCTTACTTCTTCCTTCCCTCCCTCCTTCCACCCTTCCTCCCTCCCCGTCTATTCTCTCCCTCCTTCCTTTCCTCCATACCTCTCTATTGCCCGTCTCTCTCTCACCCCCGCTCTCGGCCCCTCACGATATAAGTGGGCCACCACATGTCCAGATCTGTGTTGCTGACATAAAATCTTGCTTCGCCTGTGTCTGGAATAAATGAGAGCTTGTAATGTGTGTGTGTGTGTGTGTGCGTGCGTGCGTGCGTGCGTGCGTGCGTGCGTGCGCGCGTGTGTGTGTATGTATGTGTGCGCATGTGTGCGTGTGCGTATGCGTGTGTGTGAAGACGAGTAATGTATGAATTTCTGTCATCCTACTAGTACTATAGCACGCACCCCTTCCCCCACCTCTCCTGCCCACACTGGATCCCGCTACGTGTACATAGACATACATACAGGTAACGGTATCTGTTCCTGGGTTTCACCACCACCACTGTATGTAGTATGCTACGTACAGTGCACCGTCTATTAATATGTACACGCTCGTCCTGGAACAGCGTGCAGCAAAGATGCTATGCAAATATTATCTGCGACCGACGGATGGAAATAGGGAGCAATGCTAGTTAAAACGAGTGCACGGGAGTTTTCATGTGGCAGGGCGGGTCGTGTGTGAGAGGCGAGATATTTCTGGATCGTGGGCGGGGCGCGGCGATGACACGGTGGCGTCTTCTATAGCTAATTAATTAATTAATTAGGCTTCGTTTATGAAGTTACTGTTGGGATGAGGTTAGAGTAGGGATAGAGTTATTGTGGGAGTGCAGTTAGAGTAGCCAGGGATGGAGTTCATAGAGTAAGGCAAGTTGGACTTGCATGCAGTCATCAGTGCTATTATATCAGTGCTCGTACACACATACACACACATCACACGCGCGCACTGCCATACGACACGGCACACGACACGGCACGTGCGCACGCACACGTCGGAATCGCAGAAGCCAGCTAGCATTAGCATCAGTAGCCCCGCCACCACCAGCAGCAGCAGCATTAGCATCAGTAGCCGCCGCCAGCCAGACCAGCAGGCAGCAGCCAGCCACCACCAGAGCGGCAGGCAATGACGCAGCAGCAGCAAGGATGCATCAGCAGTGCAGCAGCAGGCAGCAGCAGTAGCAAGGAAGCATCAGTAGCAGAGGCAGCAGCGAGCAGTAGCAGCAGGCAGCAGCAGTAGCAGGAGCAAGCAGCAGTAGCCAGGAGGCAGCAGCAGCAGTTAGGCAGCAGCAGCAACACCGCCACACCATCACGCATAGCAGTACACAACAATACACACACGGCGCAGCGCTACGCACACACACACGGCACGTTATGTGCCACTGTAGACAGTAGTAGCAGTTAGCAAGCCGTAGCGTAGCAGCAAGCAGTACGCAGTACAGGGGCGTGTACAGGGGGGGGGTCCAGGGGGTCCGGACGCGGCCCCCTGCTCGCGCAGAAAAACGCATTTAAGGTCTAATTTAAAAATTCTGGGGGAGGCCCTGCCCGACGGCCCCCTTCCGTGCTTAGCAAAGTTTTGAAGTTAGCGGTTTAGACCCCCCCCCCCCCTGCGTACAGAATCGCGTACACGCCGCTGCAGTAGTAGCAGGCAGGCACGTAGCAGCAGTAGGGCAGTAATAGTAGTACCAGTAGCAGCAGCAGTAGCAGCAGCAGTAGTGCAGCAGGCAGTAGCAGCATAGACAGTAATAGGTAGTAGCCAGTAGCAAGCAGCAGAAGCGAGGCGAAAAATTGGTGGGAGTGTACTAATCTCATCACCCAGTTAGCATGCAGATGTGATACACATCCCGCCAGCCAGCCAGCCAGCCAGCCAGCCAGCCAGCCGGCCTTGCCAGCGCAAGCCTGCCCGGCAAACACTAATAGGCCAGGCTACCCGATTCCCCACACCGTAATGGATCATAGCTGGTGGGAACTCGCCGCGTGCCAGTCGAAATAGCCCTCCCAGTAGGATGCGGCTGTGAAGGCGGTGCCCCGTTTAACTGCTGTGTGTGTGTGCTGTGTGTGTGTGCTGTGTGTGTGTGTGCATGGAGAGGAGGGGGGAGGACGGGGGTCCGGCGTAGTGGTGGTGGTGTGTGTAGGGCGGGGGGGGGGGAGGCTGGTGGAGACAGGATGCGTGTGCGTGTGATGGCCTGACTCTGCAACCGCTTCCTCTCTCGTCTTTCTTCTCGTGTCTCTTTCTCATGGCTGTCTGCGGCTCGTCTTTCTTCTCTGTCTCTTTCTCTGGCTGTCTCGCTCTCTTTCTCTGTCTCTTTCTCTGGCTGTCTCGCTCTCTTTCTCTCCTCTCTCTCCTCTCGTCTCTCCATCTCATCTCTCTCTCGTCTCCTCTCTCTCTCTTCTCTCTCTCCTCTCTCTCTCTTTCTCTCTTTCTCTCTCACACAACCTCACGCGCAATTATTCTCTACCCCCCCCCCCACTCCACCACCACCCTACCGTCACTTTCTCACTCCATCCATTTGCCCACATGTATGCATTTCTATAGGAAGTATAGTTATTGGGCAGGGACCGGGGACCGTAGACTCTTATTCTTAAGGCGGAGGCCGGTGACTTAGACCGTAGAGAGGCAGAGCTCTATAGATTACTGTTGTAAGTTTAAGTGTAAGTATAGATTACTGCTGTAAGCCCATAACAGCGTAGCGTGAGACCACTAGCTGATAAGTTGCCGTCATAATCCGAAAGCATCACGATTATATATGTTCGTTACAGTATGAGAGAGAGAGAGAGGGAGAGTGAGGGAAGGGAGGGAGAGAGGGAGAGAGTGGAAGAGAGAGAGAGAGAGAGACGTTAACACAGAGTGCGACAAAGAGGAAGAGTGCGAGCGAGAGAGGGAGAGAGCGAGAGAGAGACAGACAGAGAGAGGAGATTAGAGAGAGAGAGAGAGAGAGAGTAGAGAGAGAGAGGAGAGAGAGAGCGCGCGAGCGAGAGACAGAGAGAGCGAGAGAGCGCGAGAGATAGAGAGGATGGAGGTAGGGAGTGGGTGTGTGAAAGATGAGGAGTAGAGGGGGAAGAGAAAGGACGAGGCGAATGGCAACATATACGCGCGCACAGAGAGAGAGAGAGAGAGAGAGAGAAGAGAGAGAGAAGAGGAGAGAACAGGGGAGGGAAAGAGAGAGAGAGCGAGAGAGAGAAAGAGGAGAGGAGAGAAGAGAGAGAGAGAGAGAGATAGACGATAGAGAGAGAGAGAGAGAGACGAGAGCTGCGAGAGAAAGGGGAGGGAAAGAGAGAGATCTAGAGAGAGAGAGAGAGAGGAGAGAGAGAGAGAGAGAGAGAGAGAGAGAGAGAGAGAGAGCCGAGAGGAGAGAGAGAGAGAGAGAGAGAGAGAAGAGAGATGCGAAGAGGAGAGAGAGAGAGAGAGAGAGAGAGACGAGAGAGAGAGAGAGAGAGAGAGAGATGAAGAGTAGAGAGAGAGAGAGAGAAGCATAAATGCATGGCATGTCTAACCAGGCAGGCTTGTATGCGGGCGTAGCGCAAATCAAAAGCGGCCAAAACAATATTTGCTTTAAAATAACGAGGCTGCGGAATGAAACAGCCGTCCGTCTCCCTCCTCCTTCCTCGCCTCCTCTCTCTCTCTCTTCTCTTCTCTCTCTCCTCTCC